TCCTTTCGTGCATCCATCCATGCATCTGTCTCTGTGTCCGTTCGTCCATCTATTCAACACTCCAAGTACCACCATCTCACATCTTTTCATCATGTATTCCCCATATAGAAGCACCGCCATCCAGCAAACATTCCAAGGTCTAAACGAGAGGTGGCACACACGCACACTTTCTTACGGCTCGTGCTTCGGGTCTACTTTTCACCTTTAACCACCTCCGCGGGTTCAATTCCCGGCTGCGGCGGCTGCATTTCCGATGGAGGCGGAAATGTAGGCCCGTGTACTCAGATTTGGGTGCACGTTAAAGAACCCCAGGTGGTCAAAATTTCCGGAGCCCTCCACTACGGCGTCTCTCATAATCAAATGGTGGTTTTGGGACGTTAAACCCCACAAATCAATCAACCTTTAACCACCTGGGTTTCATTGCATATGCTAGTTCACTGTATGCATGGCAGTGCGGCCCAATGCTCGCTAAACCTTTCTGAAATCAATGAGGTTACGCCCAGCGAGTATAACGTAACCACCTTTTCCTGTCAGATAGTGCTCAATGTACATACCAATTGCTGCTAATGGGTATCGCAGCGTGCGCGTTAACCAAAAGCCGAATGCTCATGTCTCTCATTCCCTCTTAGCAGCCGTTGGCATGTACATTAAGCATAATCTTTTATTGTTCAATAACGCACAGAAGAAATCTCTCACCGACACCACCTTGGAGGTCAAAATGTTATACTCCTTACAGACTACAACGGCTACGAGGGACGAACGGATGCTGCTATAAGGAGCTTCACCCCTAAAAGTGCTTTTCTATTGACCGGCTTTGAAAGGAACCCACATCGTTCGTTGTTAAATTTGTCCTTTGCATTAGCAATAGCTCTCTTAAAATAGCGGCCGCATACTTATAATCACTCCTGTTCCTGGGACACTGGTTGAAAATTAATTTTTTTTCTATGCAGCTTTTCTTAGTCTATAAGCCCACGAACAGTCTGCATTCCACAAAGGGTTGGTTTAGAAGGTTTAGAGCTTTCAATGGTGAATTTTGAATTATTCAACGACTCTTGTAAATTGTCACTTATTCTGATGGCCTCTAGTTCCTCATCATTCATTCGGTTAAATAAAGCGCCTCGTATTGATCTCTCGCATGTATTAAAGTTTACATGCGTAACCTATGATCTATTCTTGAACGTTATTGCAAATACCACCTCGAACAATATTGGCACATGGTCACTACTTGTTCCCGAGTTAATCGCAGACCATAATAATATGGACAGGTTAGCGTTATAAAAGATTAGATCAAGCACAGAGGAGGACTAATTACACATAAAAGTAGGATTTTTAGTGTTTATGCATATAAAGTTATCTCTGTTCACCCTATCCCGCAAACGTTTGCCATTCAAATCCCACGAAAACCCCACAAAATATTATGAGAATTCAAGTCACCTACTATACATTATCTTTTTGGCAACTAGTAAACTGCAGCATCTAGAACAGAACAATTTAGAACACCCGCAGGAAATCAAGCATTAATAAATGATAATCCGGAGGTACCCAGGAATAAGGCCTAATGGTAAAATATCGCTTTCTGAAGTCATTGACTGATATTTAATTTTAGCTCTTTGGGCGATTTTAGATTAGATAAATATTGCCAAACTTCCACACCGAGTTGGGTGGTCCAGATGAAATGTGCGGTAATTTTTAATTCTAAAATACCTATTTTCTGCCAGCCAAGTTTCTTGGAAAGCAACAATATAAGGGTAATAATAATCGCAAACATGAGGCAAATCTGTAGCTGCTGAAAAAATGGAACGGCAATCCCACTGTAGCACTTTTAAATTCCTTATTTTGCAGAGATACCAGCAGCACTCACTGCTTTCTCTAAGATGCTATCCTTTAAAAATCCTTTTTTGATGAATTTCCTTTCTGATATTTCTTATATTTTATTTAGGACTAACTGAGGAGCGTTGTGCTTCGGGAGAAGCACGTCTGTTTCATATTTCTTGAGTCAGACCCCATTTGTTCTAGTTGTGAGACATGAGAATCGGAGTCCGAGCTCCTAAGTCCTGCGCAAGAGGCACAATTATTCTACGGGCAGAGCTCGGCGTGTCTGGCTTTGACTTCGAAGGGCCTGGTTCCGGCGGAATATCGGTAACCTTAACTAATGAAGGCAGAGAATGGGGCACGGTAGGTTGGTTACCTCCCTGCAAGGTTTGAGGCAACTGAGTGCGGACTGTTTGTGCCAATGACTCCGTTAGGCCCACGAATAGAGAATCCATAAGTTTCGTCACGACCTTTTCTACCGTTGATGTCATTATATCAGGTGAACGACGACTCAAGCACCTGGTTTGCCAGATTGGCAACGGTGGCATAGCCACGTGAGCGCTCAGAGAGAATAGATCGGGGCCTCACGCTGGGAGCATCCTTGTTGTTCGATGATCTCTAGAAGTTGCAACGCATATGTCCTCAGAAGTGTGGCAGCTTGGGCTAATTGGTATGGCATGACGATAGTTATAGCGCGAGAACGAAACGACGACACAGACAAGGACACGAAAAACACGAGCGTTCGTGTCTTTTGCGTCCTTCTTGTCTCTGTGTCGTCGGTTTTGTTCTCGCACTTAACTATCCTCATATGTCCTCATGGGGCAACTTTCATCGTTAGCTGCGTGATTTCTTCTGCATAGAGCGCATCTAACCTCTTGGGTTGAATATTTAACCGGTTTATGTTGGTCAGTACGTGTGCGACACCTCACATCCGATCTACATTCCTTGAAGGTATGCCCATACCTCCAGCATTTTTTTCACTGCAGTGGGTGAGGGGATAGCGCATCTACACGATATATTAGTAGCCATGCCTTAACTTCGGTTGGTCGAGCCGTGTCGGCAAAAGTCACGATCACTGATTCTGTGGGGACCTTTTTGTTCTCAACGTTTCGGGAGCATCGAAGTACAGAGACTGCTCCTGCAGCTGCAAACATTTCAAGTATTTCAAGTGGTGTAAGGCTCAAGTCCACTCCACGAACTAGTTCCTTCACACAGACCAAATGGACAGGCACGAAACAGCTCAGTGGAGTTGAGGCAAACGTTGTGCATTTTAGGAGGTCTGTGATGCAGGCCTCGTCCGGCGAACAGCAAAGGATGCCTCCACGTCCAAATTGACGCACCTCGGTAATCATTTGGTGATACTTGGAAACCTTCTGGAGTTCTTCCTGAATTAGTTTCAGATTTTTCATCCGAATGGACTCGTCATTGGTTGAAACCAGGGCCACAGGAACGCTCTTCAGACCTCTGTACAAAAACAGATCGATTGGCAAATCACTTTTGGGAAGGGAAACCGACAAGGCAGAATATGCCTTGCCGGGAGAGGAGAGAGACATCAGGTTGATAGGCTTAACAGCACCATCCGATCCGGCCGCACCTTCACAAGAGGAAGCACTGTGCCCTTGAAGTAGCAGCAGAGGTAGATCCCGAATAGGAACCGGACGCTCAGGCCTCAGGAAGCACCGGATAAGGCCACCGGAAGAAGGTGACCGTTCGCTCGGGCAGCCTCGCAAGACGCCCTCTTCTTTGTCCACACGAGAGCCATGACCTCACTTCGGGCTTCGATGCACTCGACAACGTCTTCTTGTCGTCATCTCGCAGCATGAGGAACAGTGCTACCCTCACTGGAGTGTATCTGCTACCTCGTCTAAATACAGGTATTTTTGTGTGAGTTGACGTATTCTTGCTCTCTCACGCATTTTTACTTTTCAACAAAGTATTTGAGAGGAAATAATTTGTGCTTTAAGGATTGTTCTGTTCGCCGATCTGCTAAGCACCCTAATACAGGGAAGGATAAGAAGAGGAAGAAAATGAAGGAATGATAATACGTCCATTCAGCTCACTTTAGTTAATTCAAGAGCCCACGATAAAACTATCTTTCGGCAACTTGAAAACGTGATCAACACCTATATCCAACAGTTATTATGAGGCACCAATTACCGGCGTGTTGGGTGCAGCGCAATTAATGCGGCTGATGTAGAGCGCGTAGCCAGTTCCCGACCCGTAAACTAGCGAAGCCGATCGGTTCAGCGAAGGCGAACGCGGAATACCCCGAGCATGGGAAAGAAAGGAGACTTCTTCGTTCGCACAGTCCACGGCGGAGCCGTCAAATTAATCGCCGTCCGGGACTAGAAGGAGAAGGCTTACTCGGAAAAGCGTCTAGCAAGAGGCAGGTCAGGCGCCACCGTCTGAGTTTAAGCCATTGTTGACAGGCACGCGTGTCATTGAGAATGACACGAGGACGCGACCACTTGGCTGACCGAGACATAGTGGCGGCAGAGAAACGACCATAATCTTCCCCGCTGTTGTTAGGATGTCGGGGCGCCTCGCTGTCACATGCACACCTGGTAAGCCCACGGAGCCCAACGGTGTACCCACAGCTCTTAAGGAGGCTTCTAGGAAGCAACAATAGTGAGAGAACTGACGGGGCTCGAGCGTGAGAACGGCTGCCGACGGCAGTCGGCCGACAGAGGCAGCACGGCCTGGCATGGGAGAGAGTGTCACACGCGCAGAACCTATCTCTATGCGTATTTTATTTGGTAAGGACTCTTGCTTCGACAGCCAAAGGAGAAGGTCGTGTCTGTGCGCTCCGCGCTTTTTTGCTGCCTCTCCTTCACGTCAGTCACTCCCCAACTCTCGCTGAGTGCGGTCGCTCGCGGGCCGCGCTCTTCAGGAGTACGGCTCTTCCGCAGCAATGCGTTTGCTCCGGCGTCAGTGACAGACTTCTACCCTGAACTCCTCTTGGATTAACCTGCCATGGTTTGCCCGGAACCCCCACACTTCACACTGCTGGATAGCGAATTAGTTCTCTTTCACTTCGCGTGTTGTACGCGGTGTAGCGGCGTGTCGTGGTGTAGGGGCGCGGCTCCTAGCGCGTAGCATAAACGCGCTTTCCTTTTTTTCGCACTAACTGCGAAGTGTTTTCTTGAGCGGTGTCGTGCATCCCTGTGAACACGTGCGCGAGTGTGACAATGCACTCACCAAGGCACAACTCCGTCCCCGACGCCCACTCGCCCATCGCGGCATCCCCATCAGCAGAGAGCGCTCCAATTCCTGCCCCAACTTCTGAGGAGCCCGCGAGGCGCCCTTTCTGTCACCGAAGATCAGAGAACCTCCCGACCAACAAGGTCCAGGTACACCGCCATCTGTTCTTCGAAAAGATTGCGACCGACAACATTCAAGCCATAGTGGAAAAGTGGCTGCAGGCCAATCCTGTCGCGCAACGACAGGCCCCCATGCCGGCCTCCCAGTGCGCCAGCGGCGCCGAACCTGCCACCAATGGCGACTGTGCCACCGGAACTGCAGAGGAGCTGCCACAAAGCCCCATGCAGACCGAAGCTCCTGGGCAGACACAGGGGCCTGCTGGCGTTCCCATACCTCTCAGCTCTGATGAGGGCCACGAGGCAACGGACTTCTCAAACTCACGGAAGAGGCTGCGAGAAGAGAGTGGGGACGAGGACGACCACGCACCACGAAAGCAAACGGCTACTACCCCCTCCGAATCCTCTGAAGAGGAATCACACACTTCTCAGGGCTCAGAGGAGTTGTCCGGGAGCGAGTGCAGACCCACGGTGGATTCTGAAGTGGCCTCCACCACAGCGGACATGACATCATCTGCCACAACAAGCAGCACGAACTCCGCGAGCTTGGATGGTGCAGGCACTTGCCAACTCCCTAATACCGCCTGAACGGACGACCTATCGGCCCCTGGGGACCCCTGCTCTCCCTCCCCCCACACAGAAGGACTGCCCTTGCCAGCAACCTCTCCCCAAGGAGTAGAGAGCACCCTACCTGCCCCTGCAGCAGAAGGGACCACCGAATCTCCCGACAACCCACCCCCTGATGCTTCAGCTGCCATGGAGGTGGTGGAGGAAGTACTTATCAGTACCGCTACAGGAGACAACACCCGAAAGGAAGCCCCTTATACGGCGAAAGACTTCCTCCTTACACCGTCAGCGGGGGCCACACCTACCAACCGCAGAAAGAAGGAAAAGAAGAAGCCGACCAAGAAGCAACTCCCGGTTACTGCATCGGAGGGTACGGCTGCCAACCTCCCCCAACCTTTCGGCAAGGCTCCTGCTGCAGTAGACACCACAAGGAGGCACAGCAGTGCAGCGGAAAGTCCGCCAGACACAGAGGGCTTCCAGGTGGTCACTACCAGAAGTGCCCGACGCCGTGCCAGGGACCTTGCTGCTGCTGTGGCCCTCCCGGTCAACCCTGCCTTTGTGGGCACAGTTCTCTTCCGGCCATCGGCCCCCGGAGGTACCTTCAGTGGATCCCCACGCCTGATCCTCGCACAGGCGCTCTCTGCAAGGCCCGGCGTAGCCGCATTTCGCGCAAATCAAAAGCGCAACATTGTGGCTGCTGACGCCACCACGCGAGAGTGCCTGGAGTAGCTCCTGACCATTAAGGAACTACAGGGGTTCCCTGTCACTGCCAAGGAACCCGCTGACCACAGGACCAGCACGGGGTTCCTACACAGTGTCGATGGGGAGCCTGCGGCGGACAGCCTGCTGCCTGGGATCCAGTCGGCCGTCCCGGTGCTCTCTGCTGCCAGGGAGGGGCGAACCGTAATGCTCCGCTTCGCCGGCCCTGTGCCACCGGAGCACGTGTCACTCATCTTGGTATGCTTCCCAGTGCGGCCGGCCAGACGCCGCCCCCTACAGTGCCGGCAATGCGGTCGGTTCGGCCATGTCAAGGAGAGCTGCAGCTGGCCAGGCAGCTGCATCAGATGTGGCCAGTCCCACCCGGGAGAGAGCTGCAAACAGACCCGGCCCCGGTGTGTCAACTGCGGGGGCCCACACTCTGCAGACACCCCGGAGTGCCCTCGGTGGCAGGAGCAGTGGAAGGTTCCCACTATCATGGTATCTTCCCCAACCACCCTCTCGAGACGTGCAGTGGCAGTTGCGGTGCGAGAGGAGATTCAGGATTCAGGAGGCGCGGACCTTTGCGAGCGTAGTGAAGGGCCACCCTTCGCCGCCCCCCCCCCCCTTTGGCCAGACCCATCCCGGCGCCTCGCAAATCTCGTCGCCAGTCACTCCAGGGACAGCAGTCCACTGGCACTGCTGCCCCTATGGCCCTGCCGGCGGCCACTGCTGTTCCTGAGGCCCCGCCTGCTGCAGCTGCCACTCTCGCGCCCCAGCCTGCTGCTATTGTCCCCGGAGGCCGACCTGCTGTGCCCACGGCTCCTGTGGCCCCGCCTGCTGCGACAGTAGCATTGCCTCCAGCGGACCCGGCCTACCAAATCATCGCCACCCTACTGCACACCCTGCGATCTGTGGGAGAGTCACTTCCTCTGGACCACCCCCTTCGAGCCATCTGTTTACAGACGGGAGGCTCTCTGCTCCCCACAGCCAATCATGGCTAGCTCCCCGCTCGGAACGAGCCGAGGCCGCCGCCCAAGCGTTCTTCAGTGGAACGTCAACTGGCTGGGGCGGCGGAGAGACGAACTGGCAGAGCACCTTCTGCGGAGCGATTACGACGTGCTTGCACTGCAGGAGGTGTATGCCCGGGTGGAGGACCTTCGCCTGCCGGGGTATGTTGGATAGAGCAGCAGGACTGGCTGCACCCTGGCAACCTGCCATGATGCCCCCTGCCTGAACGACGGCCACCAGCAAGGACGTTCCCGGTGTGCTGTCTACGCCAAGCGGGAGTTCCCGCAGGCAGAGGTGAAGGTGGCTGACCTGGCTGGAGGCCCCTTTGAATGCTGCGCCGTCCGCATCTACATCGGGGCGCAGGACACCACTGTGGCTGTGGATGCCTCCGTCAGCTGGTGCATCGCCTGGGCAGGGAGTCCCTGCTTTGCGGGGACGTTAATGCCAAACACCCAGTCTGGGGCGGCTGCAGGACTGACATTCGAGGCAGAGAGGTGCGCGATTACGACGTGCTTGCACTGCAGGAGGTGTATGCCCGGGTGGAGGACCTTCGCTTGCCGGGGTATGTTGGATACAGCAGCAGGACTGGCTGCACCCTGGCAACCTGCCATGATGCCCCCTGCCTGAACGACGGCCACCAGCAAGGACGTTCCCGGTGTGCTGTCTACGCCAAGCGGGAGTTCCCGCAGGCAGAGGTGAAGGCGGCTGACCTGGCTGGAGGCCCCTTTGAATGCTGCGCCGTCCGCATCTACATCGGGGCGCAGGACACCACTGTGGCTGTGGATGCCTCCGTCAGCTGGTGCATCGCCTGGGCAGGGAGTCCCTGCTTTGCGGGGACGTTAATGCCAAACACCCAGTCTGGGGCGGCCGCAGGACTGACGCTCGAGGCAGAGAGGTGCGTGATATCCTCCAGCAGCTGGGGCTGGCGATCCTGAACTCGGGTGCCAACACCTTCCTCCGTCGTGGGCACCAGGCCACCAGCACTACCATAGATCTCAGCGTGTCCACGGAGGGTTGCCAGTACGCCTGGTCGCCATTCCCGGACACCTGGGGCTCGGACCACATGCCCATCCTGCTGTCCCCCTTCAGAGGTAGGGCCCCACGGGACCGCGAGTACCGCGTGGTGGATTGGCAGGTCTGCCGGCGGCTACTCAAGCAGGACACGAGCAGCGGGGACCTGCTGCAACTGGTGGCCCACAGTGTGAGGGCAACAGTCACTGCCAAGGTCCAGCAGGGACAGCCCATCCCGGACATCCGGCACCTGGCTCTGAAGGTGGCACGGTGATGTGCAGAGCGGCAAGCCCTGAACAAGGCCCAACCGGCGCTCTGGACGGTCTTTCGGCGAATCGATGCCGTCTGCAGACGCCACACACGCATGCGCCGGAACCAGGGCTGGCCGGGCGTGTGCGTCTCAATCAACCGCTCGCGTGATGGGACCAAGGCCTGGCGCCTGCTGAAGTGCCTGCTGATGGCGCCCCGGGCCTTGAACCAGGGACTGTCCCTGGCTGTTCACCTGTCCATCATAGCTGCGAACCTGGCTGAACAGCTGGCTGACCAGTTTGCTGCCAGAGACATAGCCCCACTGCCTGCTGCACCACCGCTACTGCCCTCCCTTGCCCTACCTCCTGCCATCATCCCAGATGGGTGTCCGCGCAGGTACGGGAGCTGTGCGAAGAGCCCATAGGGATACACGAGCTGATGGCGGCCTTCGAAAGGACCAAGTGACGAAGTGCTCCAGGGGCCGACGGCATCACCTTCCAAATGCTCCGCAACCTGGATGGAGGTGGCCGTCAACGACTCCTGGGGTACTACAACGACGTTTGGTGCACCGGAGTCTTACCCGAGTCCTGGCGAACTGCGGTGGTGGCACCAATCCTGAAGCCCTGGAGGAAGGCCACGGCTCTCTCCTCGTACCGGCCACGGCTCTCTCACCTCCGCGCCCTGCAAGGTGATGGAGAGGGTGGCTCTAGAGAGACTGTAGTGGACTGCCGACCACCTGGGCTTCTTCCCGGAGCAGCAGACGGGCTTCAGGTGACACCGGTGCATGGAAGATACGATCTCGGACGTTGTCGTTACCCTCGAGAACGCCAGGAGCAGCGGAGACGTGGCCATGCTACTGCTGCTGGACGTGGAAAGTGCCTTCGACGGACTCCTAAACGTGGTGGTCGAGGCAGCCCTGAACCGCCTCGGCATCAACGGGAGCCTCCGAGGCTTCGTGACCGTCTTTCTGTCCGGGAGGACCTTCCGTGTCTGTCTTGGAAGGACAACCAGCCAACCCAGGGACATCACTGCTGGTGTCCCACAGGGTTCAGTACTGAGCCCCTTCCTCTTTAACATGGCACTAGCAGGACTTCCGTCTTCCCTCCCAACAGACACCAGGTTCCCGGCCCGCTGCTCGGTCTACGCAGATGACGTGGCACTCTGGGACCGGGGACCAAGGTGGTCCATCCCAGCCATCAGGAGATCACTGCAGGCGGCCCTTGATGCAGTGATAACCTACCTCAGAGGCATCAGGCTTAAGGTCTCTGCCACCAAGACCGTGGCCCTGCTGCTTCACCCACTGGCGGCAGCTCGCACCCACGTGAGACAGCTGAGGGTTGGCAACCGCAGCCTGCCTTGGAGGCTGGTGGTGAAGTACCTGGGGCTCACCATCGACCACCGCCTCACGTGGATCCCGGCTGCCAAGGCTGCTGCCACCAAGGTGTGGCGCGTCCAGCGCGCCATCAGCAGGCTGCAGCTGCGTGGCCGCGGCTGCTCCACCAAGTGGGCCCTCCGGCTCAACCAGGCTGCAGCGTCCTTGGTCCTCCTGTACGCCTTCCCGCTGGTGAACCTGACACTAGCCAGGAGAAGCCTGCTGGAGGGACTCCACAGGGGTGCACTGAGGCCATCCTGGGGCTTCCCAAAGCTCGCTGGTGGCAGCGACTCTCGCAGAGGTGGGAGAGTGGCCTCTGACGTTGCGTATGCTCCAACGTGCGCTGGGCCACATCAACCACCTTCACCACGCCACCGACGGCAGGGCCCTTCTGGAGCGTCTCCGCAGTCAGCCAGAATCACGGATGGGAAGCCTCTGCCTGCTGTACAACCAGATTATCCGGTATCCGCCAGTCCCGGTTACCTTTCCTCCACCTCACCACCAGCCACCAGAGGTCCACCTCTGCTTGGAAGGGGCAACCAAGCGACGGACGACTGTGGCCGCACTGCAACAGGCGGCCTCCTGCAAGCTCTAGGAACAACTGGAGGGACGGCGGAAGGTGTTCACGGACGGATCTGTGATGCCGGATGGGACCGCAGCGGCCGCATGCGTAATCCCGTCCAGAGCCAACAGCAGGCAGTGCAGGCTACCCTTCCCGGCGAGCTCCACGGCTGCGGAACTGGCTGAACTCCATCTCGCGGTAGACCTGTTGGCCGAGGACGTCCCCCTTGAGCCGGCCGCGGTCCTGTGTGACAGCAAGGCGGCCCTGCAGACCCTGGCCAACTCCCGCCGTGCCGGACTGACGGCCTGCCTCCTGACATCCAAGGTTCGGGCCCTCATCGACGCTGGGGTGTCCGTCTCCTTCCACTGGCTGTCCTCCCACGTGGGCATCGCTGGAAACGAGAACGTGGACACACTCCCCAAGGCTACCCACCAGCCTGGTACCCCCTACTCCTGTACCGTGGTGGCCAGGGACTATTCGCAGGCCCGTCTCAAGAGGCTCCTCGTCACAGTCCACCCAGACACGAGGGTGGCCAGCGGGCGAGGACAAAAGCCTCTCCCAGAGACGGGCCTCACCAGGAGAGAACGGGCCTCCCTGTTGCGACTGCGGACCGGCTGCGTGTGGACAGCGGCCCTCCACCACGCCAAGGGCCTCTGTCCCTCCCTGGCCGGCAGCAGTTGCGGAGACCCAGAGACCCTCGAACACCTCCTCTGTGCCTGCGCTGGCTTAGCACAGGAACGCTTGAGGGCCTACGCGGCCTACAGGAGACAGGGTCTGCCCGTCTCCGCCCTGGAACACCTGCTGTTCCCGTCTCGTCCACATCCAGCA